TATCCCAACAGTAGTTATGGACAAGGAGGATATGGCTCGGATACACGACCCGGGTACAATCCCTCTTCTAATTACCCGAGCAGAGGATATGAACAAGGCGGAATTGGTATGGGTGCACGACCTGCCGAAGCTCCCCCTTACCGTGATGTGGGATTCTCACAGGTAATCCAGGAATTCATGCCAAAGCTGTGCATGACTTATACCATTAGTGCATTACGTCTTTTAGCCTTCATATGGAAATCAAGGTCCGCCTCCTTTGAGCAGAGATCCTGGAATGAAGTCAGATCAAGAAACTCGTGTTTATGATCCATATGCAGAGTGTACGTTGCACTTTACATATTTCGACATTTCGCCACTATCTTATGACTTTTTTTCAGAAACCAAAACCATCGATAGTTGGTGAAGAGATACTCAATTGCACCCTGTCTCCCGAATCCGCCAATATGGAAGCATTTAGTTTCCGTTGCACTTATTTTTATTTTTACATTTCCACTTTGATTGCGTCTTGACTTCATATTTACGTAATCTGTCTGTGTATAAAAGTTTTGCTTGCACTTGCTAGTTTTGAATAAACATCATTATCCACATGAATTTTGCGGGAGAAGAAATAGTGGGAAATTTGGGCTGCGATACATTGTCGTTAGGTCAAGCCCTAATGTTAACAGTGATTATGAAAAGAATGAAGAAGGCAATCTTCTTCTGTATAGCATTTTTCGGAGTTAAATGCCGGAAGCATGAACATTCAAGAGATGGAGAAGTTAAATTCTTCTAATTTTACTTTTCACTTATAGAGCTGAGGCTTTATTACATGAAAAATTCAAAGACTGAACAGCTCAACAGGATGTGCAACACGCATTCATAATTCTGATGTCTGACAATTCTTCCAAGGATCACTATGATGGGTCCCCTACTTCCGCCTAATTACCCCCCACGTATTACCTGCTCATCAAAATCATGGTTTCGCACACCTTCTAATTCGTTTCACTTTGAATCAAGCCAGTGTATACCGATCTTCGAACAAGCATTTTTTTTTCAAAAGCCAAGGAGCGCGATTAGCCGTGCATATCAGAACAGCTACCTTTCCACTTCTTCTTGTAACTGTTCAATGGATTTTTTAGTGCCGTGCTGTTGTGCGTAATCCACAGTCTTTGTTTCGACACCTCTCACTATTGTGTTCAACCATATACCTTAAGAAGCACCTAAAATGCGAATTTGAGCGATGCTGATGGAACAAAACGCTTGCAGGAAATAAGAGTAGAAATTTCCAATGGAGCAAGGCGCTGCTTTGGCCTAAGCGAATATGCTGGCACCAGATGCAGAATTAAGGGAGTCTAGTTTAGTTATGTTGAAATCCCCTTTTTCATATAG